AATTAAATTTGAATGAAATTCAATCAAATAAATATGTCATATCCTTACAATCAAAGTACAATTAAGCATATCAGTATTTTATGCAACTGAGTGTAGGGTCAAAGTTTAAGTTACTATATTCATAAGTATCGAAATACAGGAGAAATGCTTAAATAAAATATGGTCAAGTTAAAATATATACCACCTTAAGTTGCTTTTTATTTAATACTAATTTTTTAAATCAACTTTGAATTAGATCTGTCTTATCCAATTAATTGATTGGATCAATTTTATTGCTGAATTTTATGTTTCAAAAACTGGACTAAAATGAGCCAAAAACATTTTTTTTTTCACAAGTTTTTCAGGTATGAGTCTACAGATGTACTACAAGTGGCAGTTCACGAAGTAGGTCACGTCTTAGGCCTCGAGCATTCATCAGATGATAGCTCTATCATGGCTCCATTTTATCGTGATGAATTAGATGATCAAGGAAATTACGCGTTGCCCAAATTATCTACGTCAGACGTGAAAAATATACAGTTCCTTTATGGTTAATTACTGACTTTGTTTTGAGTTATAACTGCTAACTTTCGCTTGCATAACAGTTTGCTTTGCTAGATCAAACAAATTATGATTATGACTGATTTATTTCCAAATTATGATAATTTAAAGATTTAATCACAAAAAAAGAAAATAATGTATTATTTACAATCTAATAATTAATAACTTAAACCTGAAAACATCTTTAATGCGCTTATTAGTTTGCTATTCAATATTTTAACTCAAATCTTCTAATCACACCTATCAATTCGTTTATCTTTAGAAGCTTTCCAAATTTCTGCACTATTTTCAGGTTCAAATAATAAAACTCCACGGAATTCACCAAAAGGTTATTTTTTATTACATTCGATAATAATAAGCAAAAAATAAGCAGAATAAATGATAATGTATTTGACAAATAATAAATCATCTATGCATGTAAAACTGTGAAAAATTATTGAATTAATTAAAAATGAGCTATTCACACATACTTTTTATGTATAATATTCAACAATAAAAATTGACCTATTAAATCAAATCAAAACAAAATATATATTGACCTATTAATTCAAATATATATAATGGCTTGTTTATGTATTCGATTAATTATGTTAACTATTCAGATTTTATTAATTATGTCAAATTCCGCTTACTTATTCATTTATCCACCTTTTCAACATTGTGTCTCTTCGCAAAAACCAAATTTGCATTGATCTGATCTGTATAATTTTTGATTTT